CATTTAATACACATATCAAACAAGTTTTTATTCGTCTCTGGTCCCAGTTGAAAGAAAAAAAATGCAGTAATGCTATTTTGTGATATTTTCGCCAGAATTTCTGCGTTATGTTTTGCTACATCGATTGATTTATTCATTTTTTACGGCTTATCAACCCTTTGCAGGTTATTTAAAGCCAGAAAATATTTTTAGATTGTAAGAATTGTTTTAGTTTATAATAATTTAGTGATACAAGTCTTGCAAATTAACCCATAGCTAGGGGGAGACGAGTTGGATTCAAACATTTCCCAAGAGTATTTACATGTAAGTGAATATAACGAGACCTACTGGAATTGGAACTCGGCTCTTCGAGTAACAATTCCGAACTATTATCTATTATATCACCCGCATATCCAAACTTACAGGACCTGATATTCTCATGTAGGTACTGAACAGGCTCTATGTTGCTTAACTTTGGTGACCGTACGGGAACCGATGTTTTAACGTGATGCGACCGTAAGCCCTTATCTGAGCTGGTAGCGTACTAACCCATTTCCCCTATGCCTGATGGGAATAGAGCTAAATTTCATGAAATGACAGATGATACATTGTTGATGTCAGACGACTTCTTTATGTTCCGTGTCTCTTCATGACGTGAGCGGTCATGGATCTCTACAACTTCCTATTTCTTGTAGCTCTTAGTAATGTCTATCTTTTTACTATCCATCCCACCCCACCCCGTTACGCTATCCATTCACACTCGCTTTCCCGATAACTACAATCTTCAAAAATTTAAATGCAACGTCAATCGTCATCTTCTGATGCCATAATCACCTTTCTTCTTTTTATCCTTTCCTCAATCCACCCCGTATACACAGTCTTTTCTCTTACTTTCACTCTCTGTAAACCCCTGCGTACTCCGTACGAGTGACACTCCCACGTTGCTTGGGGTGAATGACCACTGCCTTCAACTGCTTCTTCAATATCTCTTGTGAGTATCAAATTCTCCAAGTCAACCCTTTACGTTGTGTTCTAGAAATTTCAACTGTCTCTTTCTGATTCTGAATATGTGTTCTTATTTTGCTTCCATTTTCTTTCAGACTTTATCGTTAATTACGCGCTCCATCCATGGTATCCTCATCATCCTTCTGTAGAACCATATTTTTGTTACCTCCAGTCTTGTTTTCATCTGTAAGAAGATTGTCCTGCATGCACTGCCATATAGGAAGATTACATAACAGTTCAGTACTCTTTTCTTTGTTTGTAACGAAATTTTTCTGTTTCTTACTATTTTCTTTAGCGTTTAAAATGTATCCTTTGCAAATCCAATGCGCGTACGAATTTCGGTGTTGCATTTTCCATTCTCTATGAAAACACTACCCTGATATTTAAACTTCTGTAGTTCTTTGCCGTTGACATCACCAATTTGTTCACTATTTACATTATTCGGATTATTGTCCTCATCTTTGTCGCCATATTTATTACAACGTTTCTGCCGTTGTACGCTCCGGTCTTCTTCAGGTAGTTGGAATGTCGAAGAAGATTGTCCCGTAGGCACTGCTATATAGGAGGATTACATAACAGTTCAGCACTCTTTTCTTTGTTTCTAACGAATTTTTTCTGTTTCTTAATATTTTCTTTAGCATTTGGAATTTATCCTTTTTTACACCGTGACTCTACGGGTCACGGTATAAAAATATATATATAACGAACCCAACTGGAATTGGAAGTGGGCATTTCGATTAACAATTCCGAGTCATTATTCATAACACCACCCGCGCATCTAAGCTTACAGCACCTGGTATTCCCAAGCGGTCACCCACCAAGGTACTGACCAGGCTCGACGTTAAATTTGGTTATAGTACGGGAACTAGTGTGTTGAAAATTGCAGGAACTCCTAACCAGGTAAGTTAAGGAAAGCGAAAAGAAAGTTATAGGACTAACATGCGAATTACAAATTGAAGATACCAAAATCAAGTACAACAATTTAAATATTTGGGAAGTGTTACCTAATCTCAGTCTTCTTATATGGCAGTGAATATGGGACAATCTCTCCATAGATGAAGAAGAGACTTGTAGCAATAGAAATTTGGTTCTACAGAAGGAAGCTGAGAATACCATGAACTGAACGTGTGAGAAACAATGAAGTTTTATAAAAAATGGAAACAAAAAGGACACTTATACTTAGCATCAGACAGGGAGAATTGAAATTTCTCGGGCATATAATGAGGAAAGGGTCCTTGGAAAATTTGACACACACAAGACGACAAGAGGGACAAAGAAAAACAGCGCATAATCTAACAAATTTGTGTAAATTAATGGCAGAACAGGATTTAGCAGAGATAGCAACAAAAAACAAAATTACTAAGCGCTACAAAGGACAGGAAATTGTAGAGAGCAATGATTGGCAACGTCCTAAATGAGTGTCTTTTTCGATTCATGACTGACTAGGCAAGGAATTCCCCGCAGTAGGCTGCCGTTTCTTTCTACGGTAGACTGGTTGTCAACCAAGGCTATATGGATTCATGCCTTTCCCAAGGATAATTGGACGTAAGTGAATGTAACAAACCCGATCGGAATTCGAACTCGACTCTTCAATTGACTCATTTCGAACCGCTATCCATTACAACACACCATACATTCTCAAGGAAACTAAAAAAAAATTAAAAAGGAAGTAGTGTCAACGCAAACATACACGCATCGCTTATAAAAGGACCTTTACAAAAATGCTTAGGCAACCATTTTTATATAAATAGTAGAATATGTACATTCTGTAATTTGTGTGGATACAAAGATAAGACTGTAGGCTTCTGTAGTGATAGCAACAAATAAATTACTAAATAACCCCCACACCTTATTAGTAGACTATGTACTAGTTTGGAACCAAAATAATTAATAATAAAAGAAAAATCAAAAGTTAAGCAATAAAAATACGAAATAAGAATGGTAGTTATCAATAAAGAAAGAAAAAATTAGAAAACAAGAAACAATAGTTAAATAAAATATTGAATACTCCCATGATGCACCAGAACAAACATTTTACCGCCAAATGAAACAAAAATCAAAAGTTTTTCTCTCTTCAGTTTTCATCCATAGAAGAAGGCAGACGTCCTGGACAGTTCTCTGATAAAACATGCTGCCACCAACAGATAAGCAAAATTTCTTTATTTCTATATACATATATGTTCTTTAAAATATACAATCATTTCTCTGAAATGTACACTAAAGCATTTTATCGTTTTTGTCTATGCTTCGTTGTACCTCTTATGATTTCTTTGTAATATTATAATGCCGCTATGGGCTGATGACCCTGTTTTAACCAAAAAAATACATATATAAAAAATTACATTCAGACAAGGCCAACACATCACCAGAAAAACCACACCAGTTCCTTAGTGAAAACGTGTATTGTATAGAATGACTGAATACCATGTAAAACTGGTTTAAAACTTGCTTTGAGGTAATATGTATTTTCTGTGTACTTTCAAAGATATTTTCTTGTTGAATAAACATCAGTTTAAAATATGACTGTTTTGAAATTGTCTTATCAAACCGAACATTTAACAACAACTACAACTACATTTAAGACAACAACAACTACAACAGTGAAAAAAGCAACACATGGCGCTAATATTATTAACATTGTAACGCAAACTTAAATGTAACGTTCTTAGTCTTTAATAAATTCAAGTAGAATATAAGTTTTAAGATAGGAGGCATATTTCAAGATGATGCCTTTGATAATTATTTGCTAAGCTGAACTTCGGCTGCTACAAGCATAAATGGAGAAAAATACCACTTGAAAAAATGTGTTGCATCAATTGTCCAAGTGAAAGATGCCAGCCTATATTGAATATCAGCATTCAGGAAAATAGGAAATACACAAATACTTCAGGCACAAAACAGATCCAATATGGCGTCTGTGATATTTTCTATTTATAATAGAATATTTCACACTTTTCCTATTCTAATTATCTGATTTCATTAAGATTATGAAAGAAATTAAAAAACTCCTTGCGAGTTCTACGTCTATAAATTATGCATGGAAACTCCCCTATTACATCGCTAAATATTTGAGCTTAACAACTTTAACAAAATATTGCAATAACGATAATAATTATTAATGCAGGCCATTATTTAAAGAAGTAAGAGGGTGCAAATAAACAGATTCAAAACTGAAAATATTTTCAATTTTACAGACACAGATGGTAAACACATTACCTCTTCTTTCTTTCTTCATAAAATATTTTATAGTCGTAGAACTCGACATGAGCTTATTCAATCATTTGCTTAAGAATTAAGATTCATCAGAAAATTCGAAAGTGGAAAACCGTAATATTTTCACGGGTAATGTATTTTTCAGTGCACCCCGTCACATCGACGCTACTGAATGATTTCCTATTCGAATTTTCTACTGAATGTGACACACCTCAGGCGCCGTCAATAAATCCAGGTTTCTCTTGAAAGAGAGGTACGCACTGGTGGGATGGCCCTCTGGGGTTTGAGCTAATATTATTTTGAAACATACCCGGAAAAAGTGCCAGGGAATTATATTTGTACGGATATTTTTAGTATGATTTAATTGAAATTGCCTACGAGAAATGTAGTTGGGATTTTCTATAAAATGGATTCTGCATTTTATGCATCGAAGATTAAAGCGTTGGTTATAAATATCTGGTTCTCTGTTAGTTATAAGTTCAATCGTTGGGTCTGGAAGTGCAGGAAAACTATTGTTTTGTACGAACCAAACAATGGTTTTCTTTATTGATTGACTTCTTTTTACAGCTTATCAACCCTCTAGAACCCTTTTGGGGATTGTAAGAATTAAAAAAATAATAATAATGGTTCAGTGATACATGTTTTACTAATTAACCCGTAGCTGGGAGGGAAAATAAGTAGATTCATATTTTCCCAAGTTTATTTGCGGGCAAATGAATATAACAAACCTGACAAGAATTGGAACTCGGCTCCCCGATTAACAATTTTGAGTCATTATTCATTACACCACCCGTACATCCAAGCTTCCAGCACTTGGCATTCCCAAGTGGTCACCCATCTAGACACTACACAGGATCGACGTTGCTTAACTTCGGTGATCATACAGGAAACGATGTTTCAACGTGATGTGGCCGTAAGCCGCAGTTCGTGCTGATCGCACGGACACTCCTGACTCTTTCCCTCCAGTCCTCACGAGAATGCAGTATGACCGTCAGGTCTTTCAGTTTGCATACTGTAGCTTCAATTCATTGGTGAAAGGACAACCTATGCGTTCATGTTTTGATGCCCAAAGAAGCACATTGCTGATAAGCTCATCTTTATTTCTCCAAGAATGCTTTGCAAATTGTGTTCTTTCTCGAAGGCAGATGGCAGTAGAGTTGCTCTATTGTTGAGTGCTGTCCACATGATAGATTTAGAGCAGCAGACAGCATTTTTTTTGGTGATTTTTCATAGTGTGGCTTAGATGTGGCAAAGGCTAAAGGTATGTGGATCGAATTCGAGACTCAATCGTAATTGTTCTAGCAAGACACGTTTGCTAACCATCACACCATCTAGTGAGGATCGAATTCAATACTCAGTCGTAATTGTTCTAGCGAAAGAAAATTTGCTAACCATTAAACCACGACGAGGTTCCCGGTAATTTTCTAAGCGTAGCATAGATATGGCACAAGGCTGAAAGTATAGGTCACCCAGTGAGGATCAAACTCACTACTCAGTCTGAATTGTTCTAGCGAGACAAGCTTGCTAACCATTAAACCACGTCGAGGTGCCTCACGCAGCATCTTTATGTATGTAAAATCTAATTTCTTTATTGTTAATGTTCATACCATACTTCAATAGATAAGAAGTGATTGGGGCCTTGACTTAGATGAAGTCTCTTCTATTGTTGACGGATAAATTTGATTTTCAAATTGTTGATAGATCCTTCGTGTCTTGCCAAGGCGGATATTTGCATAACTGTCTATAGAGGCTATATTAATGTCAAGATAAATGTACTTGATGACCCTTTTGTCGCTGATTACCAGACAGTGAGTTGATGGAGCCTCGTTGGTTATAAACTATGTATTCTCTCTTGTTCACATATGGTGAATATTATCCTTCACATCTTCAAATCTACCATTCGTCCATGCATGGAAATCTGTTGCCATATATGGTCTGGTGTACCGTTGTTCATCTCTAGGTTCTCGACAAAATTCAAAGATGGATATGCAATGTTATGGTCCTGACTTGGGCTCTCGTCTCCAGTCACTTTCTCCCCGACGTAATATGGCTTCACTTTGTCTTTTCTATAACTATATTTTCATGGCATCTGCATCTGCTCTAACGAGCTATTTTCATTAGTACCCTGACTGCATGAATGTGCTACTAGGTTGGCATCTCGGTCCCACCCTTTTACTGTCGAAACAGTTAAATGTAACCGCCTCTTCTAATCCAACGGCTTTTTCTCTCGCACTTCCCGACAGTGGAACTCCCTTCCTCTTACTTGCTTCCCTGATAAATATAATCTTCAAAAATTTAAATGTAATGTCAATCGACATCTTCTATTGCCTTGATCCCCGTTCTTCTTTTTATCCTCCTCCGGTCTTCTTTTTATCATTTCCCCCCCCCCACCACCATAACAAGTATTTTCCCTTACTTACACTTTCTGTAGCCCCTTGTGTACTAGTGACACACCCGCCTTGCTTGGAGTGAATTGCTTAAAAAATATGGAAAACAGAATGAGAATGGAATAACGCGTGTGAGAATGGAATGAAAATAGAATAACGTGTGTGGAATGAAAATAGAATAATGTGTGTGAGAATGGAATGAAAATAGAATAACGTGTGTGAGACTGGAATGAGAATAGAATAATGTTTGTGAGAATGGAATGAAAGGAAATAACGCGTGTGAGAATGAATTGAGAATAGAATAATCTGTGCAAAAATGGAATGAAAAAAAAACAGAATAAGAATCTAACCACACGAACTGAATAAAGAGTTCGGTTCAAAATTCCAAGAAAGTTACCAAATGCAACAACAGACACGTGAAGAAGGACGGAGAGTATAACGGCCGAAACGTTCTGGGTATAATAATCAAAATGAGCGTGCTGGTCTGTATAGCAAGACATATGAAGAAATGTTGATTTTTTTATGTAGTTATATTATTTTAAAGTCGTATATATTCAGTCGGTGAATGCCGAATGTTTTCTGTTTGGAAACGGCTAATCTCATCATATCTTTTTCTTACTGTCTCATAAATATTAGCCACAAAGCAGTTAAAGTTAGACATTCGCGAGACTTAATGACAGTTTTAATATTAGAATTTATTTATCTACTATAACATGCTTATGTCAGTATTTTTCTTTTATGAAATAACATTGCAATAAACAGCTGAGCTGAAACAGAAATGCCGAGTAATTATTTTGTTGCTATTGTCAAGAAAATTCGTGTCATTTTGCAATCAGACAACACAATTATACCGGACACCAGAATGAATTTTGAAGCATGAAAATGTCAGATCCGAGTCAGGATAAGGAATCGCATCGATTATACATGCAAATAAAAGCAGCTGCTAATGAAACTTACAGAACTATTTGGTTGACGCCATACAACGCCTGTGATATACAATTTCATTTGCCTTTGTGTGCATAGTTGAAAAGATCCCAACAAAGAGCAAGCGATCGACATACAACACTCTCAAAGTAAACAATTTTAATGCAAACAGTTTTCTACTTAGGAGCATTCAACTTATAAAGACTCAGCGGTAGGAACAGGTCTTTGTCCATGCGAATGTTTTACATACTTCATCGCTACATCGTTACAGTGTTATATAGCAGTTGTCTGGTACATTTGATAATACAACATAAAATAAAGAATGGACTAATAATCACTAGTTAATAAATCTTGGTAATTTGTACTGAGCCGGTCCCAAATTATTCATGCTCACTATCTTTTCTTTCTCTTCTAAATATTCGAAATATTCTTTTTGCCAGTTTACTCCTTGGGCAAACTAGGGAGTAAACAGGCAAAAGGAATATTTCTAATATTGCATGCAATTTCAAACTTCTATCTTGTGTATTTTACGTGATATTAGCAATGCCTCTAATTCTTGGGTATACATTTGTTAAATTGTCTCGTGTATGTCGGAATTATATTGCCTTGTGCATATATTCATTACAATGTTTTCTGTACAATGTATATTGCATTTTTTACACGGAGTTAGTGTTTTATATACACATTATATTGTTTTGAACATGTGCGGCATGGCTGGTACAAGGGTATGGTTCTCCACCATGAATCTATGATACGGGGCTCCCCACTCTAGCACATATCAAAATTTTCATAAGATTTTATTCATACAAAATGCTGATTTTATCATAACCTAATTATGCAGGTGGAGTAATGAATAACGGTACGGTAGAGTAATGTATAGCGGCTCGCGTTGCGGAAGCCGAGTTCGAATTCCAATCAAATCCATTACATTGACTTACGTGCTAATAGCCTTGGGAAAGGTATGACTCCTCTTCTTTTAACCCCACCCACCCAGTTATGGGTAAATATCAGGACAGACCGGGGACCAGACAGAACTGGTGTACCTATTGCGGGAAAAAAAATCAGCCTCGTCAGTCATGTATCGCTTATGCGTATATCACGCATGGCACATAACTGACTGAATTACGTACAGTAATGGATCATCTTACTTATTATAAAACGCAGATTGTGTGTGTGTGTGTGTGTGTGTACGTTTATATATTGGATCGGATTTCCTACATTTTTCAACCGATTTCAATAAAACTTCACAGGACAACGTAATATTACCTTGTGGTGATTCTGACAGCGCCCCAAATGGGAAAAACACAATTGTTTTTACACGAAATCAATTTGAAAACACTTAAAACACGATTCTGTCGCCAGAATGAAAGGGGGACAACTCATATCGAGTTATACTTATTATAAAACCCAGGTTGGTTGCTTGTGTGTGTGTGTGTGTGTGTGTGTGTGTGTGTGTGTGTGTGTGTGTGTGTGTGTGTGTGTGTTCGTTTATATATGGGATCGGATTTCCTACATTTTTCAACCGATTTCAACAAAACTTCACTTTTTTTTTGGGCAGGTAGTGTTTCTTATTGTCTTGCACACTTTTTTCTTTATTTTTACATTCAGAATGCTTTAAAAATTCCATTTACAAGACAATTGTTTATAATAAAATTCTATTCAATCGGTAGACTCATAACTTGAGTTTGGGTTTGACCAATTCGTAAAAAAAAAAAAATACTAATTAAGACATGCGTGTCCGTAAACCTTAAACAATAATCTTTGTCAATTTTATTTTTCAGTCATTATGATGGTCGATACTTGATCTATCTCTTACTGTTACATCCCCGGGCAACGCTGGGCTCTACTGCTAGTATGCAATATAGTTGAACAATTCATCTAAAAAAATTGAAAATAAACACAATGTATCTAAAAACAAATGTTATGTAGTGATCATTCAATCTAAATCAACAATATTTTGTGGCAATTTTTAACATCAATTTGAGATTGAGTTTCCTTTCAGGAAACAATACACAGAAGTATTCATGGCTCTCCACAACTTTCTATCCTTCGTAGTTCTAAGCAAGGTTTGTCCCCTTACTGTCCTTCCCAGTCCATGTTTTACCATCCATTTACACAACCTCGTTACGTAGGTTGATTATAGCTCTCCACCACATCCTATGTTTTGCCATCCATTTACACAAATTCCTTAAGTAAGTTACTCGCTGTTTTCCTCTGTCCCTCTAACTGTCTTGCCTCCACTTATTTAATTTTATGAAATTTCGAGAAATTAATTTTTGTACTGCTTAATGTTTATATTAGTTTTCAGCAGATCACCTTGGTGAATTTAAATCATCAATGTTTTTTTTTGTTTTTTTTTGTAAAACAAGACCCCCTCCCAGTTATGAAAAATCTGCTCTGAATTAAAATATAAAATGCAATAAAACTAAGACATTATTTAATTAGAAAAGCTTTTAATTGCTTTTTTATAGACACTATTGCGTTAAAAAATATTTTGATGTATAATAAATTTTTACAAGAATTGTTTTCATTTTTTAAAATCTTAATTATAATAATTTATAAAATTTTAAACCTTTTAAAATTCTGTCTTTTTTGTAGAGGTTAGG